GAATCCGAAGAATCCGAAGCGGGCTCCAGGCTCTGGGCTGTCGGCACAAAGCCCAACGTGGGGCTGGAACTCACGAACCGCGAGATCGTGACCTGAGCCAAAGTCGGAGCTTAACCCACTGAGCCCCCCAGGCGGCCCCTGAATAGTTTCTCATGTTGTTACGTACGTGCTTAAAGCACTTGTTAAAAAAATCGCAATGGTAAGGATATTCTTGTCATGACCATGACTTGTACCGTGAGGTGAAGATGGTCCGATGAAAAGGGAAAGCTGCCGGAGGGGTCCGTTGTGTTCCCTCCAGGAGAGCTCGCTTTTACGCCCACAAAGTCGTGTCCCGCACACGCTGCCCACAACCTGCCCGTGGCGGTTTCCCATCTATCCGGGAAGCTATTCTTCGTGTCATGCGCTGAGCTCTGCCACATCTTTTCAGATGGCTCCCTGGCCCTCTTAGTGGATTCTGGGCCTGTTCGTTCCGGGCTCCGTGGCAGGTTGGGCGTGAGGGGAAGAGACCTCCCTCAGTTGGGTGCGGGCCCACGTCGGCTCACAAGCCTCTGGCCCACAGGCTCTGTAACAACAGCCTCCTGTAACAACACGCAGGCACAGTTTCCAGGGTCCCGAGAGGGAAGCCTGGAAGCCCGGAAGCCCGAGGTGTTCGTGGCCCTCTGCTGATTCTCCCAGCTCCGATGCAGCGTGTGAGGAAGCCCGCCATTTGTTCAGGCGGCGTGGTGCGTGATGTTCGCACCCCACGCCACCTCACTGGGGGGCCAGGGAACAGAGATGCAGAGTTCGGCCAAGGTCAGCGTCCCCTGGAGCCGGGGAGGGGCCCCGTAACCTGCCCCTGCAGGTTGGGTGTTGGCATTCTGGCTGTTCTCCAACTTCATCGTTAAAAATTACACCGTGATGTACCTGTAGCATGGGTGGCAGGTGCTTTTAACGTTGCGACATGTGGGCCCGCTTGCCCTCCGTGGACACGCTGAGTTTCAAGCATCCTTCTTGGAGTGCCGTACGTTCTATCATTTTTTTAATGTTTATTTATTTATTTTGTGAGAGAGACACACGGGAGGGGCAGAGAAAGAGGGAGAGACAGAGAATCCCAAGCAGGCTCCCCGCTGTCGGCGCAGAGCCCAGTGTGGGGCTCGGTCCCAAGAAACGTGAGATCATGACCTGGTCCAAAATCAGGAGTCGGTCACTTAACTGACCGCATACCACCCAGGTGCCCCAAGTGCTCTACATTTTAAAGTGTCTCCTCGGGTCATTTATTTGCCCATTCTTTTTTTTCTTTGTCTTTGTTTTCTCTGTCTCTCTCTTTTTTTTTTTTTTTTTTTTTTTTTTTTTTTTGACAAATTTGAGACATGTTCATCCATGACTTCTTCCAGTACATTTCAGCTCTCCTCTTTTTCCCTCCATTCTGGGACTCAGTGGCACCAACACTCAGCTTTTGTGGCTGTCCCTCAGCTCCCTGGGCTCTGCTCATTTTTTCCAGTCTGTTTCTCTGTGTTATTTGATGGGGTGATTTCTGTTGTTCTGGTTTCAAGTTCATGGATTCTTTTCTCTGTCATGTTGTCACATTCACTCGGCCGTTAAGCCGCCCGGCGAACCTTCTGTTCGGTTACGGTACCTCTTCGTTCTCAGTTTCTGTTTGATTCTTTGTGAGTTTTTCTAAGGCTGCATTAAACTGCTTGTTGGAGCGCCTTAAATAATTAATGGCTGCTCTAAAGTCCTTATTAGAGAATTTGAACATCTGTGTCATCTTGGTGTTAGCACCTGTGACTGCTTTTTCTCTTCCTGTGTTCTTGGTGCCTTTTGCTTGTGACTGGACGCTTTGGGAATTGTGCTGTGCGACTCTGGACTCCATTCCAGGCTCTCTGTGCAGGCAGTGGCCCGTGCGGTGTGTTGCACGCGGGTCCCGTGGACTCTTCAGCAGGACTTTTGTTAACGCTGCAATGTTTGCATAGTGAGAAGAACGGTGAGATCGACCAGCAGCGGGAGCAGTATGAAAACCTGAAGTGGAGGCTGGAGAGGAAGCTCGAGGAGCTGGATGGTGAACTTGCTCTGCAGAGGCAGGTAGGACGCTCCGACTGCGGCCCCGTCTCAGCTGGAAACCGAGTTGTTGAGGGAAAGTCGGCCTTTTTGTTAACTGTGTGGTATCCATGGGGTCCGCGTTGAATTACTGGGGCAGATTTCCATTCTGGGGTGGGCTGGGGGATGTGGCGGGCGTCTGAACCTTCGTCTGTAGTGACTCCCTGGGTGTCTCTTTCCTCACAAAAGGATACACGTTGTCTCCCTTATTTATTTTAGAAAAAAGTATTGAAAAGTTAAAATTTGAGTTACTTACTGTAGAAAAGAGCTGGGGACTCACAGCGTGGTCACTGTATTTCTTTTGGGGAAAACCATAGGTGGCCAATCCTAAGTTTCGACAGAGTTGTGCCGGCTGGCAGGTGGTGCTTAAGCCTGTCAGCACGGTTTCCCCTCCGTGACACTGAAACCCAGCCTGCACGTGTGACGGACTCAGCTGCGTTGGGTTTTGGCCGAAGGGGCCCGTTCTCACTTGTGGAGCCGCACGGGTGCAGGTGCTGGGGTGACAGGCCCCCTGGTCTCCATGGAGCACGTGCTGAGCTGCTGTCCTGAGAGCAACAGCAGTGTTCATGGAAACTGCATCCACGAAGGTCCTTGTGCTCCTCACAGCAGGGACACGGTTTTGACCAGATATTTACAGGTGGGGGACTGAGCCCAGAATCAGTGACCAACCTGCCCGGGATCCTCTTCATACACGGCACAGATGTCATATGAGTCCAGGATGTCTCCGGGGTGTAAGCTCTTACCACTGTTCTCCTGCCCTGGGATTGCTCTTGTCGGAGAGCCAGAACTCCTGTCCCCTCAAGGGTCCTCTACTTAAAATAAGAGTCAGGGGCGCCTGGGTGGCTCAGTCGGTTGAGCGTCCGACTTCAGCTCAGGTCACGATCTCGCGGTCCGTGAGTTCAAGCCCCGCGTCGGGCTCTGGGCTGATGGCTCGGAGCCTGGAGCCTGCTTCCGATTCTGTGTCTCCCTCTCTCTCTGCCCCTCCCCCGTTCATGCTCTGTCTCTCTCTGTCTCAACAATAAATAAACATAAAAAAAAAAAAAAGAGTCAGATTGACATGAGACGGGTTAAGAGGAAAAAACCAAGTGTAACAGGCGTGCGTACGGGGAATCCACACGGACAGGGAAATTCCAGAGACCCACCAAAATGAGATATATATGTCATTCTGAACTAAGGAGAAAGAGCTTTTGAAATCTCCTGCAGAGGATTTCTTTTAGAGTTTTCTGGAACTAAAGAACTTTGTCCATTATGGATGGATTTGATTTTGGAAACGGCTCAAGTTGTTAGGGCACGAAACTGGGGCCCGAGCAGCGGGATGAAGGAAAGAGCAGTTGTGACTTCACCGGGAGGTGAGGAGGTTTCCTGAGTCAGCACCAGGGTCACGTCCAGAGGAATTTCCAAAGGGCCCTGGGCAGTGGTGGGCCGTCCCAGTTAGCAGGCAGGCATTCAGCGGCCCCTGGAGGCAGCGATGACCCTGGGGAATGGTGGTCGGCTCGGCCGGGCCTCTGCTGTGACCCAGGCAGGCTCTGGCTCCAGCTCCCCCGTCAGTCAGGAGGGCCCCTCACAGCCGTGGGGAACGCTGGTTTTCCTACCGGCCCTACTTCTGGAAGGAAGGAAACGATGTTTAAACTCCCCGGCTCTGGTGTTGCACCCAAGGTGGCCGCTGGGAATGTGGTAGCATTTGTCTAACGTGGTTCCGGAACAGTCTGAGCCCCTGCGGGTTCGCGGGGAGCGGGATGCTTTTGCCTGACCCCGACTCTGGTTGACCCAGGCTCTTACGTGCTCATTGGCTTCAGGGTTTCCTGTTTCTTGTTTCTAAGGATCTGTGTCCATTACTGACTTGTCAGAAGGTAGAATTGACTCAACGGTGATAATGGTTTTTCTCCTGAAAAATGAAATACAAGATAAAGGGAACTGAGTTGGTCTGTTTGACTCTTACTGTACCCGCGAGTTGTAGGCAGTGGGCTGAAGGGAAGCTTTTTTTCTTTTTTCCCCCTGTGTTGGTTAGCATCACAGGATTAGAAGCCAATGGAGTAGAAATGGAATGATTGATTTATTCGTTCATTTAGCAAAAAAAAATTTTTTTTAATTTTTTAAATGTTTTTTATTTTTGAGAGAGAGAGAGAGAGAGAGACAGAATCCGAAGTAGACTCCAGGCTCTGAGCTGTCAGCACAGAGCCCGGTGTGAGGCTCGAACCCATGAACTGTGAGATCATGACCTGAGCCGAAGTCAGATGCTTAACCTACTGAGCCACCCAGGTGCCCCAACAAATATTTTTTTAACACATATCGTGTGCTAGGCGTCCTCCCAGACCCAGAGTTAGGGTGTGGGCGAGCCGGCCCTCCATGGGGCGAGATGGACACCTGAAGGGTGTAGTCTCTGGTGGAATGTCCCAAGGGTGTCACCTGCATGACACAGTGAGGCAGGCTGGTGGGGCTGGCCTTTTTAAGGAGGGCGGTCAGGAAGAGGGCTTGTTAGCAGAAGTCTGCCAGTGGCAACGTGTGTGGAGGGCACACCTGGGGGGCCTGGGGCAGGCCTTCAAGGTCGAGGGGGGCTGAGGTGCTGGTGGCCGTGTAGGGCTCACAGGCAGCAGCCCTGGGTAGAACACCAATGATGTCAGACTGCGTGGGAGGTGGCTCCTGGACGTCCCGGCCAGTGTGTTGGTTAAGAGGGGACTTTGCACTCCGGAGGTCAGCATGGGGAGGCCACGAGGTACGAACTGGGAGCCTGGGGCATTGCCAAAGGGCAGGTGTAGACCAGGGAGCCTGGGCAGAGCCTTCAGTGGGAGGATGGGAGGATGGGAGGTGAGGGGCCTGTCAGGGAACCAGCAGGAGAGTGGGCGCTCTGGAGCAAGAGGAGGGGTGAGAATAGGTGTGCACTGTTCTGGGGGCTGGGCGAAGGGTCCTTGTCACCCGGGCCAGAGCTCCGCCGCGTGACCCAGCCCCCCACAGCCCGCAGAACTTTGAGCAGAGACCAAATGCTTCGTGGTCTTGTAATAGGTTAGGAGGAAAGAATCCCGAATGATTTTTGTATTCTGGTCCCAGTGAGTGTTACTCATGTGACTTCTCATACATCGTTTTGCTTTTCAAAGGATAAAAAGAGTGAAGTATGCTTTCCATTGTACTTCTCTGAGTATCTCTGAGGCTCCCGCTGACCTTCCGAGATCCAGGGATCCAGCGTGGGCACGTCGCTGGGCAGGTGTGTGGCCCCCGCCTGCCTCCCCGGGAGACGGCGGACCAGGGAGGTGGCGGGTGTGGCCACACTGTCAGGCCGGCTTCAGCCTCCTCCCAGAGCCTCCTTTGCGTAGCCGAGTCTGTCCAGGTCTCTTCAAGAGCAGGGTCACTTGGGGTCCTGCTTGCTGTGCTGTGTTGCCTGCGCGCTTCTCCGTGGGGATGGACTTCACGGGCCCGACGTCACCTCTGCTCTGACCACAGGGCTGGGCCAGGTCACCGTGAGATTTCAGGGCAGGAGAGACCAAGACGAACTGCGGTTTTCTGCATCAGCCCAGTCTGCTTCTCCTCAGTGTGGCTTCTGCGTCCCTGTTCTCCTGAGGACCGAGCACGTCCACGCCTCTAGTCCACGGGCAGGTGGACCCTGTGGGGCTGTCTCTTCGCCTGAGACCATTGGGAACGGACAGTAAGAGACTAAACACGGAGAGAGCCGTGCAGTGGAGGGAGTGGAGGGGCCTCGGCTGGAGAAGCAGCAGCCCGCAGGGAGGGGCTGTTGGGAACGTGGTGCGGGGAGCTCAGGCCCCACGTGTGGTGGGGGCTGGCCTGGCGTCAGCCGGGGGTCTGTGTATGGGCAGCCACCCCCACGTGTGCAGACGGAGCAGCCAGCAGGCAGGAGCTCGGCACACTTCTCCGTGACAGCGTGGAACTGCCCATCTGGGGAGAAGGAAGGCCGCGGGTGTGGACCCTGGTGCCTGCGGTGTGGGGCTGACAGGTGGGACCCCCATCCAGCGACAGTGCCCCAGTCGGCTCAGCGATTTACATACAGTACATGCACCCGTGTAAGGGCCGAGACAGAAGCCCCCGTCACCTGCGGTCCCAGCATGCGCCCTTGTGGTCAGTGAGCACCACTCTGGCCCCGGCGAGCGCGGGTCTGCTTCCTGCCGTTGCGGGGACGTGTGACTGTACCGGCCGGCTCCTCACCCGCGCGTGGACGTTTCAACATTTGCGTCATTTCCAGTTTGAGGCCATTAAAAATAAAGTTGCTGTGGCCGTTCTTGGCAGGCCTGCATTTATTTGGGTAAATAACTTGGGAGTAGAGTTTCTGGCTTGTGTGCTAGGGGAGTATTTGACTTTGTAAGAAATCACCGACCTGTTTTCCAAGACGTTTGTACCATTTTGTGTTCCTCCCAGCGCCAGCAGATTAGAATTTTAGCTGCTCGGCGTCCTTGTCGGCACAGAGTATTTTCAGCTTTTCCCATTTCAGCCATTTTAGGGGCGAGTCGTGGTGTCTTGCTGTGGTTTTCATTTTCTTGTCCTTGGTCGATGTTTATGCATCTTTCCGTGTGTTCGTTGGCCGTTAATATATTTTTTTGTGTGAAGTGTCTGTTCACCTTTTTGCCCTTTTTAAAAGGTGGATTATTTGCCATCATGTAATTGATTTGTTAGAGTTCTTTATATATTCTGGAATCAAGTTCTTAGGTACATATATTACAATTTTCTCCCATTCTGGGCCTGGTGTTTTCCTTTCCTTAACAGTGTCTTATGAACAGCAGGTGATATAATTTTGATGACATTCCGGTGAGCTGCTTATATTTCTTTTCTTTTTTTTTTTAATATTTATTTATTTTTGAAAGCGAGAGAGCGTGCTCAGAGGGGAGGCAGGGGTGGGTTGGACAGAGGATCTGAAGTGGGCTCTGTGCTGACAGCTGGGACGTTTGAGAATTGCCAGCCCCGTGGAAAAGGAGCTGAGAATAACAGGGAAAATGACCCTGAATAGAACAGAGATGATTGCTCAGTCACTGGTCCTGTAGCCCGCCACCGTGTGCCCACTTCAGATGTGAGGCTCCTGGGCGGTCAGCAGGAGGCATCCGGCCCAGGCTGGACGTGCCCACGCAGGCATCTGGTTGTCCTTGCCGGCCTCGATGTCCGTTGACCAACCAGTGATTCTGTGACTCCCCCTGCCCTTCAGCCGGTCCAGAGTGGGGTGAGGACAGGGTCAGCCACTCCTCCTGATGCGTCGTAGTTTTCAGGGTCTCAGGGTGCGTTGTGGGGGCTTCCCGTGATTAGTGCCACCAGAGATGTGTTTTGCATCTGAACCCAAGAACAAGATGCTGGGAGGAAGGGCCAATCACAGATCAAGAAAGAATTCTGACAATTAAAAGTATTTTTAAAGAAATTAACTCAGAATATAGACCAAAAAAGACAAAATCTGGGAGAAAATCTAAGAGACGTGGAGGGTAAATCAGGATGTCCAATTCAGTGGTCCCATTCCAGAAACATACAGTGGAAAGCAGGAAGGGGAGACTCTTGAGATGGTCTGGTCGCTTCTCAGGACAGGGACTTGAGAACAGGAGGCCTGCAGAGGCCCGAGCAGCAAGTGGGAGGTGTTTCAGAGGCATCTGGAAACCCACAGAGGGGACACTGGACACAGCCTGTCCCGCTTCCCAGCCGCGGCTGAGGACGGCAGATGGGTCTGCCCACGCAGCGGCGGGGAGACTCCTGCAGATGCCAGGCTCCGGGGAGTCTCCGGGGAGCAGCTTTGCGGGCCCGGCCTGTGACCGAGGGCTCCACCTGCAGCCGCCTCCGTTCCCTTCCAAGTTCAGAACGGTGGGAACCGAGAGATTGGAGCTGGAGAAGGCCTCCAGGAGGATGGGGCCCTGAGCTGGCAGCCTCCTGCTCCTCGAGGGCTCCGCTGGAGCCGGTGGGCCTGGTCCAGGCTGGGGCTGGGCTTTCAGCCCCCCGGAGGGGCGGAGGGGCGGAGGGGCGGTGTGGTGGAGGGTCTTCCCCGCAGGAGCGCACCCCAGAGGAAGGGGCTTGGGAGCCCTGGCGAGCGCACAGGGCCCGTGAAGAGCAGCCTGGGCAGAGCGTTGAGCCTGGAGAACGAGAGTCAGTCACGCTGCCCGAGTGGACGGCACTAAGGGGTGGGAGGGAACAGAGTGGCACGAGGGGAAGGGAAGGGCACGGTAGCCGGAAGTCCCAGAGAAATAGCGGGCTGCCCACCTGAACCAGGCTCACAGCTCACTGGTGGTGCACAGTGAGTGCTCTAGCCTCATGATCCTCATGATGCCGCAGCGATGTTTTAGGTTCAGCCTGTGGGGGGAGCTTGGGGGACAGGAGGCGGCCTCCTCACAGAGCAGGCCTCACGGACCGTGGTTGCCACGTCAGGACGTGTGGGATGGGCCTCTCTACTGCCCATCCTGGCGAGGAGCCAGCAGAGAGCACAGGACACGGGCGGGCTCACGGTGGCGTGGGTGTGCTACGTGGAGACGCAGCGGGAACCACCCAGAAAGCTGTCGGCAGCGCTGCGCCCGTGCAGGGGCAGGATGAGCAGGGGACCGTGCAGGGGACCGGGGTCCCCGTCCCAAGCCCCCAGCGGGTCTTTGTCTGTGTGCCCCCAGGACAGGCCCAGTGGCTCAGCGGGTGCTCACGTCCATCGAGGCAGTCTGACACCACGGGCCCGCTGAGGTGCTTTAGACGAGCGTGACAGGCGCCCCTGCCACCAGGGAGGATCTCTGCGTCCTGCCGGCTTCGGGCCCGCCCGCCTGGCGCCTGGTCGTGGCCGTGATTTCTGCTTGGGTACCGCCGTCTCTTCTCACCGCGGTCCCTTCCTGATTCAGGAGCTGCTGCTGGAGCTGGAGTCCGAGATGCAGAAGAGGGAGCACGAGTTCCGCCTGCAGGCTGACCGCATGAGCAGCGAGGTCCTGACACACGAGCTCAAGGTGCGGCGGCCCTCAGGCCGTGACAGTTCCCGCTCGGGAGCAGGGAGGCCGCCTCTGGGCCGGGCGGCGGGGTGATGCGACAGGAGGGCTGGCGCCACAGCTCTGGTTGCCCCTGCCTGGGGAAGTGGGCCCCCACCCGGGTAGGCTGTCCCCCCGATCCCCGCGAGACCCCCCGCCATCCACCTGTGTGCTCCACGAGCTCGGCTGGGCCGGTGGGGGGTGGTGCTCACCCATTTAGGGCGGAGGAGGCCGGGCCAGTGGTTGGGGTCCGTGTGCGGCTCTTGCCCCCGGCCAGGGTGCTGGCCGCCCTTCCTGAACGTGGGTTCTTTAACACACCAGCCAGATGCTGCTGGGGCGCACTAGCGTGCACGCCCGGCCTTTGGCACAGATGCAGGGACCGGCCCTGAGGGAGTGGGAGGTGGCGTGGGGGAGCGGGAAGCAGGGCTGGCACCTGGCCCGAGGCCGCCACCCGTGTGGGTTACACCGCGTGGGCGTTCAGCAGGTGCCCGTGAGAGACCCCTGCTGTAGTGCCCAGTGAGGGTCTTCCCAGGCTGCCAGCCTTCCCACGGTGCCACGGTCCAGGGGGCAGCACCCAGTCAGCCAGGGGCCCCGAGAACCCTGGCAGCTCTGCGTGGCTGTGTCTAGGCCGGGCAGGGCCCAGCCCAACCTCACCGTCTGGCCGGGACCCTAGCTCTTCCCTTAGTGCCCCCTGCCCCCCGCAAGGGGCACCTCTGCGTGGGTACCGCAGCCCCACCCCCAGAAGGCCCCACAGGGACCCTCACGAGGCCGCCTGGTGACTTCTAGGAGTCCCGGGCCAGACAGCAGGCAACACACGCAGGGCCGCACCCTGGGCTCCGCGGTGGGGTGGGCGCTGCCGTCAGCCGAGGGCGGCAGGGGTCGTGGGGCCGGGGACACGCACATTGCAGGCCCGCCCCACCCCCGTCTGCCCTGCGGGGCTGTTACACAGGCCGCAGCGGACACACACCAGCTGATCGGGGCGCTGCAGCCTTTACGTCACCCGCAGCTTACGGCTGAGGAAACCGAGGCCCCGCAAGGTTCTTGTAAGATGGAGCGTGTGGGGAGCGCGGTCTTCCACTCTCCACCTAAGTGCTGGATTCGAGTGTTTAGTATTCACCGATGAGGCAGGAAGCCAGGTGCAATCGTAGCGCTGTGCCGGCGCCAGTGGGCCGCGGGCCCGCCCAGGTGGCCGCGCTGCCCCGCACATTCGCTGCGCGCTCCTCACGCGTGAGCACGGCCTCGCGGTTTTGTCGCCTCTTGGATTGTAAGGTTTCTTCTCTTTCCTCAGGTTGTTCCAGTATCAGCCTCATTTTGAATTCTCTCTCCCTCGAAGGTTAAACTGTTGGACAAGGAGCTCGCGGCTCTGAAGGAAGCTGCGGCACAGGCCGCGGAGTCGCTGCGGAGCGCCGAGGCCGCGAACTCAGAGCTGCGGGACCAGCTGCAGCGCGGCGGGCAAGAGCTCAGGGACCTGGCGGCGGCCAAGGACACACGGTGTGGAGCCACGCCTGCCTCCTGGGGCTGGGCCCGCGGGGGGGCGGGGGGGGGGGGCCTCTGCTTTACCCGCTAACGTTTCCTCGGCCTCAGGATCAAGGACTTAGAAGGCCAACTTCACTCGGAGCAGCAGGCCAGGAAGAAGGAGGAGGAGGCGTTCAGGAGGAAGTGAGTGTCCGCCCTGGCGCGCGGGGTTGGGTCCAGGCGGAGGCTGCCGTCAACCTGGGCCGTCTGGCCTTTGAACTCACCGCTCGGGATTTTCTCAGTGGTGCTCAGGCTTTTTGGCGTTTGAAAACTTTTAAACTTAAAAGTCGTATCGGCCAGTTTGTTAATTGTAGGTTGCAGCAACAAACGTCACTGTAGCGATAAGGGCGCCTCTCGTTTTCCTTGCGGCCCCGTGCCCTCTGGCTTCTCAGGAGCCCCCTCTTCCTGCCGAAACGCTGATCGCTTACCTCGGTGTGGGCCGTGTGCCCCCCGCTGCCTGCCGGGTGTCGGGGTGGCCCAGTGGGTAGGCGGCGGGCCCCCTGGGGCAGCGACCCTAACGACGCGCTTGGTGGCCCGCCCAGGCTGAGGCGTGTGAGGCCAGCAGGACGAGGAGGGCGCGGAGAAGGCACGAGGCTTCTGGGCGAGCCCGTGCCCTCGGGAGCAGCCCGGGCGAGCCCGAGGGGGCAGCGTGGGTCAGGCCGTCCGGCTGCCGCGGGACTGCCTCCCGTTCCCTTTTCCGGAGAAGCGGCACGAGACTGCATGTGACGCACGCGTGTGGCAATGGGGAAGCTAGTCGGGGGCGAGAACGCGGGGGGCCGTGGAGCAAGGGCGACCCGGGGGCATTCATGTGGCCGTGGTGTTTGTGCAGCACGTGCTCGCAGAGGAGAAGAGCTTTACAGCCCGTGTGCTGCCCGTTTTCACCCGGAGTTGGAGCCTCCTGAGCTGGGAGCTGCCTTCCAGACACCATCGACCCGTATCCACCTCGGCCCGGGCCTTGCGCACACGACTCAGAGGGTGGGCCTCACTTGTGCGCTCCCGCTGGTGGCGTGTGGGTGCCACAGGCACTGCAGAACGTGGCCTTGCTTGAACCCGTAGGCCGGGAGTGCTAGGCCCTCTCGCTTGGCGCGCTGTGGCCACTGGCCTTCGGCTTGGGCGGCCGTGGAAGAATTTGGCACCTTCAGAGTCTTTTGAATCATAAATTGAAATAATTAAAAAAAATGAATATAATTAAAAAAAGTTATCTCTGAGAGAGAGACAGAGTGCGAGCAGGGGAGGGGCAGAGAGGGGGAGACACAGAATCCGAGGCAGGCCCCAGGCTCCGAGCTGTCAGCACAGAGGCCAATGGCGGGACCGGAACCCACAAACCGTGAGATCGTGACCTGAGCCGAAGCCAGACACTTAACTGGCTGAGCCCCCCAGGCGCCCCTAATCTTTAGCGTATCAGAACTGTTGGCATCAAGAGGTAGAAGTGTTCAGGAGCACCTGGCTGGCTCCCTCCGTGGAGTGTGCAGCTCTTGGTCTCAGGGTGGTGAGTTCGAGCCCCACACTGGGGGAAGAGATGACTTGAAGATAAAATCTCTTGAAAAAACAAGAAGTAAAACTGTTTGGTTACTGTTTAAAACGTATCGAAACAATCCCTACCATTGACTTAAAAGTACGTGAACCAGCCTTACGTATAACTTTCCTTTTTCTTCTGCCCGAACTCCCATTTTTACCTGACTTCCTCAGGACCTTTGTCCGAATATAATGAATTTTTTTGCCCTTCAGAAATTTGCACTCCGTCACCTCTAACAACAATGTGTAGATTTACGTAAACTGAAAACGACATTGACTGGGGTCACCAGGCTTTAGGTGTTCTGAGAGGGTTCTAAGTGCAGGTCTTATGATAGGACGTACTTTACAAAACAACATACCATAAAAGTCAGTAATTACTAAGTAAACTGTAAAGTCTCCTTAGGAACGCCCCTCTCAGGAGGCAAGACGTCCCCACTTCAGTTTGCAAGCAGACTGTGTGGGGGCTGGCCACCTCGTCACGCTCACGGCCAGGGGGCAGCTAGGTGGGTTCTCTGCCGCATCTCCTGGGCTCTGAGCGCCTTCCGGTTACGTGCCTGGATCCACCTGCTGGCTTCTCGTCCGGAATGGTGTCGTGTCCTGTGTCTGCTGCTCATGTGGCAGCGCCTCCACGTCTGTGGCTGGCCACGTGTCTGCGTATGGTCAGCAGGACCGTCCACGTTCTCTGTTTCCAGAAGCTTAGATAAGAGGCTTTTTTAAGACTTACTCTGTGACCGTTCCATAGACCAGGTGTCTTTCCACTCAGCGACACTTTGTGTCTGGGAAGCTGGGACGTTGTGACTCGAGCACGTTTGCCAACACGATGTTTACACAGTAGGATGGTTTTTATTTTGTCTCAAGCTTTACCATTTCTCTCTAAGACCTCAAGCTTGCAGATTTAGGGAGAACGTTCACCAGGCCACCTAAACAGCAAAACCCACCTTCGCCGTGAAACCATTAGCTGGTCAGGCGGCTCTGCGAGACCGTATCTCTTCATTTTTCAGTCCAAGCAAGTGAATTTGTCGGTGTTTGGAGGAGTGTCATTGAAACACCGAGAATTCTAGGACACACCTCGTAAAATGTCATGTCCTAAAGCGGTCCAGACGAAGACAAATTCGCGCTAGTGTACTTGGCACATTTTTTTTTTTAATTTTTTTTTTTTTTTTAACGTTTATTTATTTTTGAGACAGAGAGAGACAGAGCATGAACGGGGGAGGGGCAGAGAGAGAGGGAGACACAGAACGGGAAGCAGGCTCCAGGCTCTGAGCCGTCAGCACAGAGCCCGACGCGGGGCTTGAACTCACGGACCATGAGATCGTGACCTGAGCCGAAGTCGGCCGCTTAACCGACTGAGCCACCCAGGCGCCCCTTACTTGGCACATTTTAAAGCGCGTTGTCGGCACACGCGGATGCTTCGCCTCGGAACCTGCCGTGGGGTGATGCGGCGTCCCAGGCGGCAGGTGGGGCCGCGGCGACGGAAGGAGTAACCACCACCACGCGGCGCGGTTGGAAATGACTACTCATTTCGCCAGCCGCCACGATCGGACTTTCCCGGTTTGACGCAGAGAAGGGCATGTGCTGCCAGAAAGTAACAGGCACAGCGGCCAGCGTGTGTCTGCGTCTTTGCCGATGGAAGGTAGAAAATCCTGACCAGGTTGCACGGTGGGTAAGATGAGGCTTGATTGTAGTTAGAACGAAAAGCACATAATGTGACCTGACAGAAAGGCTTCACCATTTCACCGGGAGATGCTGGTGGAATCTAAAAGAAACCACTAGAATGATATTTCTGGGGCTTTCGACTTTTTACTGAAACCCAGTGGAATAAAAGCATAGAAAGGGCTGAGCGTTGCCAGTCAGATGTGCACACGACACCTGCCAATTTGGTGTGGGGTCAAGACGGGCGTCTGTTCCGGTGATGGAGTTCTGGTAAGTTTGGCGTCTCCCAGCAGAGACAGAAGCGGCCGCCGTCCCCCGGTCCCCAGTCGCAGGGAAGGCATCCGGGTCCTGGACTGATGGAGAGTGACGGCCACGTCCCACCTTCAGGGGCTGCTAGGAAAACCGGTGAGGGTGCTAGTGATGCTGCTTTGCCGGAGCCCCGGCTTCCGGGGCTTTTCTTCCGGGGGTGCTGAGCTCCAGAGTCGGGCCAGGGGCTTCTCAGCCAGTGTCTACCCGGCGAGTGTCCACACGGCTGGGGGGCCGGAGCTTCCCACACGGCTGGGGGGCTGGAGCTTCCTTGGCTGAGGACATGAGCACGACAGCCCCAGGTCCAGGGTA